GCTTGTAGGAAAGTGTGCCCTGACACGGTAGCCTGCTACTGTGTGTGTGTGTGTGTGTGTGTGTGTGTGTGTGTGCGCGCACGCGCGTGCGTGCGTGCGTGCGCGGGGACCAGCCCCAAGGTTTATGATTACAGTGTTTCAATCTGCCTAATAAACTAGAATTTTAAGGATCCAGAGTTGGACATTTGTAGCCAACAGCACATCACAGCAAGGAGTGCAGCCACTGCCAGGGCATCTCTATCGCTGGCAGTCCCTGCCCTGCCCACGCAACCCCCACACTCGTGTGGCATGACAGGGAAGCCCTGTGACGTGGAGCCGGCTGCCTTCCCCACCCCCTGCCGCGCACATCCTGGGATTCCTCAGGAAGTGGAGAGCAGCCCCGACCCCTGCTTCCCCGTGGGGTCTTGGGACCTGTGTGTGGGGCTTCCCTCCCATGTGGGGGCTGCGCGTGTGCAGCAGGAAGCACCAGCACTAGAGATGGCCTGGTAGGGGCTGCACCACTTGCTGCAACATGCAGCACTGGCCAGAGCCTGGCACCGCTGGGCACCAGTGCCTGCGCTGGGCACAACACCCCGAGCACCCTCGCCAGCTGCTGAGCCATCAGGGGAGTGTGTGGAGGGGGTGGTCCCTACACCCCCAACCCACCCTCACACCCCACAAACCCCACACACCTACACCCTGCCTCCTCAATCCTCCACATATACACCCCCCAACATACCCATTGCCCACACACACACACAGCTACACCCCCTCACAACCCCCCACCCCGCCATAAATGCACATTACCCCCCAAACACCCCACCACATACAATACACTCAAAAATAAAGAACTGGTCTTGTAATTATGCAATCACCTCTACATAGACCACGCAAACACAAATCATGACAAAATATTAATAAATTAACATATGTTATAGCCAGTGTTCGACTTTTAGTGCACAGTTTGGGGTTTTTCCTGGGTCTAACATGGCAGCCCCGCCCAGGAGTATATTGTGGGGCAAGGTCAGGGGGCTGGGGTGGGACTTCTGATCCCAAGATGGCGACCAGGGGGTGGGGTTACTGTCAAGGGGCGTGGCTACCCATGCAGCCCCAAAAGCTCGACAAACCTCATTAAGGGGCCCTCTACCCAAAATAATTGCGCGCCCCCGATCTAGGATTTTGAAAAGGGGGGTGCAGACGGCCCAGTGGCTCATCCCATATAATCCAATCCGTATTTTAATCATGTTCAAAAGGAACCAGAAGCTTTAGGTATAAGTGAATGGCCTCGGGCTGCCTTATTTAGTCAAAGACCAGGGCAGAAACAATTATACATGCGCTGGAAATGTGCCTTAATTTGCCACGTCCTGTGGGATGTATAAAAACACCACCAACCAGGCAAGAATAAAAACCAGGCTCGTATCCCGAGCCCGGCTTGTGCCACTGTCCCTGGTCCTGCCCGCACTGCTGGATCCTTCAAAGCTGGCGCCCTCCCAACCCGGGGGGCACTATGAGATGCCAGTTGCTGTTGCGCACTCACACCACAGGGCACGGGGCCTGGCCCAGGGGCGATTGACACGGGGAGGAGAAGACACCTGGACCCCAGTGCCATCACTGCCAGACTCTCCCATGAAACACAGCCCCTGACCTGGCTCTGACCGCTGGCTCCAGAAGTCAGAGAAGGGCTGCCAGGGATCAGGGGGGCTGCTCCAGCCCAGGGGCGTCTCCTGTGTCGGAGGCCTGGCAGTCTGCAAAGGGGCTGAAGGGAGAAGCTCTTTTCTCCCACTTAGCCCTTCCCAGGGTCACGTCCCTGGTCTCATTTTGCACTGGAGGGAAGAGAGGAGGCTGCCTTTGGCTCTTGTGACCCCACATCTTCCCCAAAGGCTTCCCCATGCCCCCTTCAGCCAGCGCACCTTTCCTCCCTGGGAGCAGCTCCGCCACCAACAACGAAGCAAAGAAAACATTAGGGACGGTTAAGAAGGGAACAGGGAACAAAGTGGAACATCTTGCAATGCCCCTTCATCACTGGTCCAGTCCTGTAGGGAGCAGACCA